ACCATATGCACTAAAAACAGTTGTCACAAAAATCGAGTTGAGCATCCTTAATGTACAAACATTAAGATTCTCAGTACAAGATGCTATATCTGTGGGAACCTAAAAAGGGATAGGATTTCTAGTAATAAAAGATTTGGGCATCTGTGCTAACAGATAACCTCAAAAATAAGCAAACCGTACATAGAAGGAGGCCTGTCCTGAAAATCAAGCTACACAGATAAACCAAAAAAAGGGAAGGTTTTGAGTAACACTTGTATACTGTCAAAAATTAGCTCGAATCCTTTGATTTCTGGATGAATAGCTAAAAAAATTGAATGTTCTAGTTTACAAGGGATTAGGGATTTGAAATGGGAAATGCCACAAAATGTATATTAACAGTTCAGACTGGATGATTGCAATTGCTCTCCTGAGCCTTAGAAAAACCACATTTTGAACATTATTCAGTATGTGAATGAGATTCAGCTTTTGTTTATTTGAATAAAATTCGTATTAAATGGTAGAACATTTAAGAACATTGAGAAGTTAAGAATTAATGGTAACTGTTACATTAAATGCTTATAACCGAGTAAATAACATTTCTTCCTTCCGTATAGGAAACAAGGCTGGTGTCCCATGCTACTTCCTAGCTCTAGGAGGTTATTTGCTCTCCAAACTGGAGAAAATAGCCTTTGGTGGGAAAAGGAGAAAAAAAGAACAAAAAAACAAAACAAAAAAATCCCCACCCTCATTCTAATGGGTTCTAAAGTATTTTTAATATTTGCATAGAAGTTTTAACTTTTAGATAGTAATTCCATTGCCAACTCTAAATATTACCCACAAGTCAATGTTGCTTACAACTTTAGGTGATCATATCTCTTACTTTTTGCAAATTCAGTCCTGAAATTCCAATGAACTGAGATGATATTTCTGTTTCAGATTTTCATCTGGATAAAGAGAACTGTCCCATTTGCTTGCACTCTCAACAACGGCCCTAGAACTATTGTTCTAAACGCTATGGCAGGATAAAGACACTAATCATCTCCTGTAAGTCATCAGGCATTCTGAGGCAAGAGGAATATTTCTTATTAGAGATGCCTTTGCTAAATTGCTCCTTTAGCATCAAAGTCTAAAAAAATCTCCCTAATCTACTGCTGTAAACGAGGGTAGAAAATCGACACAACCTGTCAAATAAGTCTGCTGTGTTAGAATTTCAATTCAAAACCAAAGGCCATTTAGGAGAACCAACTGAAACCAGTCCTTATCTAAATACACTTTGCATTGACCTTATTTTTGCATGTCCAGTAAACTCTCTCTACTTAAAGCTGGGAGGAGGGAGTAGGGAGGCAGAAGGGTGAACAGTCTAATCTAACTTGGAGGGAATATCCACTGCGAGAAGACTTTTGCATGAAACTGGTACAGAAGCAATACACCAAAGAGCACACACAAATGGAAAAATTTTCATCAAGAGTAGCTGTGGGAGACAAAAAAAACACTGGAGATATTAGATGGATGCAAGAGAAACATATTAAAGACACCAGGAAACTGCTTAGTCAGTCTTAAAATGGAAGTTAACTGCTTCATTCCTCTAGGGATTTTTACTGCACATTCTAGAGTCTCGAAAAGGAAAGTAGTACTAGTCTGATTACATCTTTCTAAAGAATTTTCAATATATTACACTTAAAGGAAAGTGGCAAAAATATTATAAAAAATTAGAAACCTGAGCTTCGCAGAACTCAAACATCAAAGCATTTGCTTGGTTTTCCTCTCCTTGCTCCCCCCCCCCCCCCCCCCCCCCCCCTTTCCATGTATTTTGCAAGTCCTGAGCCCAAATTCTAAGGAGACTAAGAAGGAGAACATTCATTGGATTAAAAAAGAATAAATTATGGTTATCTGCTATCTTTGCATACTTCCCAGAAAGCCAGCCACTTAGAGGTGATAGATAAATCCCATTGGTCCAAGACACAGGAATAAAATATTTTTGCTAGAGAAACGTAGGAGCTATTACAGCTCCTCTTTCAGCTTTGGTATCTTTTGACCTGAATTACAGGGTTCACCACTCAGTTCTTACTGAGTTTGAAGGTTTATTTTGTGAAGTTTCTCTACCAAAGGCAAGATAATTATTCTACTTGATTCTTTAACCCAAACGTTAGACAACGTTTTCAGGAAATTAGTCTTCAGCACCATAGCACACACAGGCTCCTATTCAAGTGACATACACTAAACAGAGGTAGAACAAAAGCAAAGTCTTCGTTTAAAAACAATAGTATCCTCACATACATGCTGAAGGGCAGCTATAATCTGTAGTTTTACAAAGTAAAAGTCCTCTGCTACTATTCAAAAGCTGACCAAACTAGATCTTGTCTGCAATATCTCACTTGAATTACCTACTCTAATTTTATCATTTAGTAATGGGAATATTCTTTTTCTGGCATAGAAATTAAGTAATTTTTCAACAACTTTCTTCGAAAATAACCTTATGATGCATGAGACACACGTGCGGAATATGAAGCAGAGAAGAGGACACATTCCTAAAGATGAAATGCAGTTAAAATTTCTGAGTCAGAACTACCCTAGATCACATTAAAGATACCGCAGCTGAGAGACGGGTTTATTTCTGACAACAGGTCAAAAAGTATTTTCAGACCCCTGTGCATCTTTAAAATTCAAGACATCAAGTATAAGGAGTTGTTTCAAAGTATAACCATTAGAAGTATAAAGCCTGATTTTTGTTACTTTAATCAGTACATTTCTTATTATGCAAATTAATTATACGGGAACATGTTTTACCTTTACATTAAGAATGTGAGCAGTCAGCTAACTGCTTGCACAAGAAAGTACTCCGTTTAACACAAGTAAGGCTAAAAGAACCTGACACAAATCAATTCACGCAGGACTTCAGCGAAACATCAGTCGTACAAGACTTCACTGAACATCAACAGCAATCTAGCTGAATCAGAACGTGAGAGCGATGCAGATACCCAAGGATTCTAGTTTTCCAAACAAGAGCTTAGGTGCAAGTCACTAAAGGTGGGGGCAGGAGGGGCAGGAGCTGCTGCAGTACTGATTTGTTCCCAATATGTCACTTAGACAACCGACTGTTTCTGGGGACGTGCAGGGAAACATCACGGATTCTGCAGACAACAACAAGCGAGAAACAAATTGCCAGATATACTGGCAAAAACACCAAGGGAAGATAGACACATCAGCTTCCTTTTGTATTTAGCGATTGTTTTTGGCGCTCTTACCAATAGAGAAGAATGCTTGATAAGCATATGTTAAATTCTGTGGTTGGCATAATAAATAACTGAACACATATTAGAACTCAAACTTCCTGGAAGCACTCTTGGCCAGTGTAAATTACTATAAATAGTTTCAGGCAATCTAGGTAAAACTTGGCCAATCAAAAGGCAAACCAAAAAGATATGGTTCAGGTGAAAAAAAATATATAGTTCTTTTGAATTAATCCTATGCAAAATAAGATATGTACTAAGATATGCAAATAAATATATAAACTATTTTCTCCAAAAAATGCAATATGGTATTTAGATCAAATAGGAAATAACTCCAACAAAAGAATTATTTTTTAAAAACCTTTTTGGATTAATTACTCCTCTGTGGAATTTTTTTGAAAAACCTGATTATCCTAACACTTATATACTGTTCATTCCTTGAAAAGACCACCATTTCATAAGTCTCACATATGATGGAACAAAAAGGGTTAGTTTCCATGTTACTTCTCCTCCCCCCTCACCCCAATCAATAACTTTTATCAGGCTCTCAAGTTCTGTTCAGTTCCCTGAAGTCTTTTCAAGCAAATGGTTAATTCACGTGACAAAGTTATACAGGTGAAGGAATGAGTAGATTTATTATATGCTGCTTCAATTTAAGAAGGGGAATTGTGCTCCAAGGAAAATTCAAAGCTAGTTATGGAGACAATTAGTTTTGTCACTAACCTGAAGTGAATTCCCTTTTCTCCTTAGAGGTTCCCCCAAAAGCTTATTGCATGAGAGCAGCACAGGAAATGCTAGGAAGATTTTTATTTAAATTTACTTCCTCATGAGGCATATCAGTGATCTCATGCAAATAAATGGACTTAGGAGAAGGTTAAACACAGAGATTGTAAGCTTGCATTTTACCGCGAATACAGTATAATGAGAAAGTGGGGTCTGTAGGTCTCCACAAAAGAGGGAAAGACATCATATAGGAAGAGAAACAGAATCATCCCTCTCTTTAGAGCTCAGAAGATGAATAACAACCTTGAAAGCTGGAAGGCATACATGCCCTTTCTTGTTTCAGATAGAAAGGTTTACTCTTTGTATGACTGAGCCAAAAAATTACACAACATGAAAGGAAGTTTTACGCTTAATAAAAACCGCATGATCGTATTTAATTCACTGGTTATTTCCTGAGACAATCTTTCTTTGCCCCGTTTCCTTTAGAATACTACTACTGTTAAGGAACAAGACTTTCTTAGCAATTTATAGCGCATTCAACTATTTCTAATTTCTCTTCAGCACGTGCATCTCATGACCACTCTTTCTGTTTCATATAAACACTAAACTACCATTTGTTATCAGTTATTAGATTAGATTTACTGTTTCTGTAATAAAAATCAAGAAACACTTCAGAGATACCGGTCCAAAAGTTTAGCCAATGGCATTATGTAACTTGCCACTCTGCCTTTCGGTCTAAAGGTCTGCAGCTACTATCAAATGAGAGCCTGCGCGACACGTTAATCCCTGCCTAACAAATCTCCATCCAGAAGTGTAATGAAAATCCTTCTGTAATTAAAAAAGGCATTCTGTGGTCTTAAACTGGACTCTCATCTTATCAATAACACATGTTAAAAGACCAGCCAAGTGATTTAACAGTGGTGACAAATTTGTTTTTTCTCATTTAATGATACAGTCACTTCTCGTTGGCTGAGGGTTCCTGCTTGACTTTCTAGAAAAATAGGTTATTTAGAGATACACAAAAATAAACACTTGCAATGAAACATGTCCATGAGACAACTTACGTACTTCGGATGTCGGATATCTGGCAGGGAGCGCTCCAGTGCTATATTGTTGCTAACAAATATGTTGAAGCCATTTTCCCTGTAAGCAGAGTCATCATGGTCTTCCTCTGTAAGTGGGTACGGCTTTCCATGTTCACCTTTCCCTGTGAAAGGAAACAATTCTTTGCCTCAAATTAACAGTATAGAACAGAAAACAGAGACAAAAATAACAAAGTCAGTCTCAAATTGACAGTATAGAATAGAAAACAGAGTCAAAAATGACAAAGTCAGTCTGAACTTGAATTGGTATACTGGATCTGCAATACCCTTAGGAAGTTTCTTGCATTGTTTTTAGCCAGGAATGCATGACAGAAAGAATAAGATCTGCTCAGATGTTCTTAGGATACATTATCACTTTAGAAAAGGGGCTGCAAAAATATCAGTAAAAGGAGCATAGTGCTTCTCTTGAAAGTCTTTCATGGGAGGGTGCATTCTTTCTCCAGTATGCAGGAGTGGCACAATGTGGTAGACTCCTTATCCCAGATTGAGGGGAGAACAAAACTTAATGCCATCTCTGCTTTGGGAACAACCAGAAAAAAGTTATTTTCTTTGGTCATATTTCCTCAGGTAAGACTTGGCAGGTAGGTAAAATTATCTCCTGCAAATAACGCAAAACAGCTTTTGATCGGTTTCAGATTCTTCATTATAAACTCCTTTTTCACAGTTGTGCCACTAACCTTTTTTTTTTCCATTTGTTTCTTTCAGAAATATAACAAAGGATACTTGTTTAAATAATAAGGATTAAAAAAAGAAAAACAAGATATTTTTATTTCAAAAGCCTCAAAGTCCTGTCAATATATGAATTCCTCTATTAGTTTTATGGAATTTTCAATTCCATACCCACAATTCTACAAGAAAATAAAGCTTTGATATGAAAGAGCTAGATTTACTAACAATACTGAGGTTACGTTTCTGGACTCTTAAATATAGCGACAACAATGACATTAAACTTCTCTTTAATAACTCTTCAAAAGCCATTTCAAGGAATACTAGGCTTGAACCCTAATCCCCTTGTACTTAGGCACACATCTCAACATTTCAGGATAAAGACTTCAACCATTAATTATGAGCAGTTTTTTGTATGCACAGTACAGTGCTACTCTATTATTATATTGCTTTAAATAAATTACTATTAGGCATGGAAGGGGAGAACAAAAACACTGTCTGCTGTTGTTTGTGTTCTACCTCGTCAATAAGTCTACAGTGAAGTATCTCATCAGCAAAGCAGCGTTCCTATTGCTTCCAAGACAAAAATAGGAAGCAGATTTAAAAAAAAAAAAAAAAAAACAGGCCACAGAAGTCCCTCTGAATTGACCCAACTCACCTAGCTTTCATTCTTTCCAGAGACACATCCAGCTCAAAGCCTTGTTATACATTAACATTTCAAACTGTAAATTAAGCTAAAAAGACCTTTTGTGTCAGAATCAAACTTTAGTAGCAAAATCACAAACTAAAGAATTAGTCTCAGCAATACCTCTTTTGGCTGATATAAGGGACCTGATTACTCAGTTACTCTGCATTTTAGCAGGCAGAGCACTCTCCAACATGCACTATTTCTGAAAGCAACTGCAGTGTTGAAGTTGAGGGCGCCCAGCTTTCCAGAACGAATCATAATGAAACCAAATGTTTTGCTCTGGGCTCCTTAAATACTCTCACGCTCCAGGGGCCTAGCCTGATGCACTTGGCATTTCTGACTGCTGATTTGGTTTCAGAAACCAGTCACTCCAGTTCCCTAAAGAAATCACCTGTTTTGTTCCCTGGCAAAGCACAGTCTTTTCATTCCAGCTTTCCAGTCCTGAGCTAGTTCTCATCATCAGTCACTTCACTTGCTTAATACCTACCTCCAGCAACTGTACCTCTATCTCTTCCAGTCAGGGAGCAGAGAACAAACGATAACACTCCAAAGAAAGTCAAAGCATAAAAATCTCCACTTCTGCTCAATTATATTTCTCCTCCTTGTTCTTGCAGGAGATGAACTTTCGAGAGTTTCTAAGCCCTCTATGCCTACTCAAGTTCTCAAAAGGTTACACCTTCCTCTACAGCTACATGATCAACTTTTAAACTCTGTTCCTCTCAGTCTAGGACCAGTCATAAGAAAATGCCTCCTTTTACGTAAGCTCTTTTAGAAAAAGACAACTTCCCACCTAGATCTAACAAGTAACAACAGCCACCTGATCCCCAGCTAATCAGGAGCAGCTGCAAGAGGGAAGGAGGAAGAAAGCTGGGAGAGAAATTCAGTGGTACTCACAAAAGCCCACAAGCCTCTGTTAATGTTCTAAGTAGGTCACGTTGCGCACATAAATACAGTCAAAACATAGACTATGCAATTTAAGATGCTGTAGTCACTCAGCTTTAGAAGCTTTATCAGATAAAACATTCATTTTTAAGCCAAAATTTTGTACATATAATTACAACTTTGTTTTAATTCTTAATGAAAATATTTAATGCTACTTACATGGGAATAAATTATTTGTATTATGAAATATTATTTACTTACACTATTCCATTACTAACAAGTATCCTGTCATTTTGTTTTAAAATATGCCTGAAATGCATTGACCAGATTCTAAAGCTAACATAATATGAAATCTGATTCTCCGATTCTATATGAATCTTTATGAATTTTGTACTAAATATGGAGAGGAACTAAAATCATAAAAGATAATGCAGCTAATGATTCAGAGTACTATTCAAAATACAAAACTGCATTGACTATAAGCTAATAAACTCAGCCCCCAAGACCTTACAGAAGTTTCAGCCCCTCTCTTTCAGCACATCTTCTAGCCAAGTAGACCAAAAGTAACCACCTTAATTTGCTTATAATAAGAGATTTATCCAGGTAGTTACTAGTATAATGGAAATTACAGAATAAATGACCTGTATGGTAAGCCAGGCTATTGCTCATACAAGCTTTTTATGATAATAATTCTCTGTATATTCCTGCCTTTCACCCTGTTTCAGAAAAGGGCTTTTTTGTTGTTTTTACTGAAGGAGTCTATTATTCTGTTCAGGAGATGAATATTTTTCAGAGTACATCACTTTCTTCATGTTCTCCCCTACTAAAAAAAGTTGAAGACAAGTACAGAATAAACACTTCAGAGTAGAATAAACACTTGCAGAGTTAGAATCCACTCTTCCTTATTAATATGGAACACTATTACTGTACATAACCCAAAAGAATGATTTGGATATCACTGTTTTTTCCTAGAGCAACTCAGGAACAGGCAGAACTTTCTCGTATCAATGCCCAGAAGTGTTTGACAAATTGCAATATGTAAATTGCTTTTGCACATATACAGTAACTTGGTTCATGAGGTGCGCTAGAAGTTATGAAGCTCATCTCCTGGCAGTGTAGTAAAATACACGCTTACAACTTTAACATATGCTTGTGGGCTTCTAAGAATCCACTAGGTCTTTCTCCCCTGTTGCTTGCTTACTCTCTCGCCCTGTAGCTGCTCCTGATTAGCTAGGGATGAGGTCCTCACCTGTCAGATCCAGCTGGAAAGGAGTTGGCTGACTTCTCTACAAGAGCTCCAGTAAAAACAGGCATTTTTTTGTGAGCAGCCTCAGAGGGAGAGAAGTAGAGAGCTTAGAAACTGAGTATTAAGAAAGTGAAGTACAGCTTTTTGAGAATCTGTAGGCCTGAAGGGTTCTTTTTGTACAGAAAATTGCCATGTTTGAGTCTCCTCAGCTTTATAAATTATCACGAGCACATTAAGTCTCTCCTCCTATCACTGACTTGCCTTCCTAGATTATTAACGAAAATTGCCTTCAGTGCACACTGCTTTGAAGCTGGAATATTCAAAAGTCTTCCTGCAGCCCCAGAGTGACAAATAGAAACTCCCCAACAGATCTCTCTGCAAGAGCAACACGCTGCTGAAAAAGAGCACAAAGAGGTTTACTGGCCCTATACCAACTACAAAAGGCTTACTTTAACCCTGTTAGCAGAGAGGTATAAGCCCTTCTATGCTGGTTGGTCTGTCTGGAGGCAAAACTACCGTTTGCATTGTGGGCAACGGACAGGGTAAAAAAAGCCTGACGGGGACTTTTTGCCTGGGTGGGTTTAAAAGCAGGGATTGACCCAAATGCAACAGGTAAGACCAACCCAGCACTAAGACTTGATACTAACTTTCTCTGAAGCTGTTTTACAACTGTGACATAAATAACCCCAGAAACTAAGGGCAGTCAGAACTTTTCATTCGGTTATATGGAATCTGATATTTTAGGGCAGGGTGGCGGAGGAGCGGAGAATGCCCCCGGAACAGAACAACATATATATTCAAACCGCTCCTCCCCCAACCTCATCAGAATGCTCCATTGCGTGGGATATAAAATAAAATAAAATAAAATAAAATAAAATAAAATAAAATAAAATCCCTCTAACAGCACCATTTAATTCATACAGTGCTGTTTAACCTTTGTGACCATAGAGTTATTACACTTACATTTTGATTTTTAACTCAGTACCCTTTGTAAGCAACATTTTGAAAATGCTATTTTTTCCCCCCCTTAAAATGCTAGTTTTGGAATTGACATCTCTGCTGTAGCTAGTATTATGTTATTTCAAGCACTTTAAGATACCATCTCAAAGTGTTTCTCAACAGGCTTTAAGATTTAAAAAAAAAAGACAGACATATTACAGAAAATCAGAGAAAGTACTGGTTTGACCAGAATATCAAGCACTTTACAAGGCTTTTTTAGCCCCATTCAAGGGCGTTACTGTCCTCTAGGAAACCATACATATGCTAAAGGATTTAACTCTTATGCATGATAGCTTGTGATACCGATAGATGAGGAACACCTGAATTAAAGCATCTTCTGCTTACAATGACTACAGATACAGCAGGAGGAGAACAGGCATTCTTGTTCAGCAGTGACATGAAAGGAAGAGGATTAGGGTGAGACAAGGGAAAAAAAATTCTGTACACTCAGGACAAATACATAACAGCAGAAAAACAGTTCTGGATCAGCCAGGTTGGTACAGTTGCCAGGTATGACAATTATAAAGAGAATAGGGCTAGTGTTGGCAGAATATATCAGCTGTAAATCAAATTGAATATGCAATAGAAGAGTTCTGTGCTACTTCTGCACGTAATGGATAGGG